CATTAGCAGTTTTAGCGCCTTTGAAAACCTACACCAAACCTTATTCTTTTCCCTCCCCACCTCCACGGCGAATATTCTACAATTTCATTGGTTCTAAACTTGCCCATCAGCTGCCCTTGAGTTCGTCTGCATGCTACAAGCTCTCTGAGTTTTTGAAAATGTGCCCTGCAGCTTGTCTCAAGGAATAAAAACTGAGGGTTGTACGGGTTGATAAAGTGCGCCTAATCTTAAATTACACAAGTATTTCTACGTGGGATCAAATCGATCTACGGAGTCGGAATTGCGAAGGCTTTTCGAACAAACCGACGCAAATCAGCATTCGTTGGGAAAATTTTTACGCAACGGCAAGCTGGCAGCTTTTCGAAATTCCGTGCACGGCTCGAGACAGCCTTTTGCGCACAATTTTTAAACAAATCAGACACACTTTTTTACACTTAACCATCGATTTGTCATAGATTCGTTATTTACATTCAGTATTGCAGTGAATTTCAGATTGGCACAAGGCCGTTCTTTGCCTAATCCTTCTCGCACAGCTAGCAGCATTCTTCGCCTGTTGCTTTCTGATGTGCGCATTATGTTTCCGCATAGCGTCACTTGTGTCTTGTGCGCTTCTACTTATTGCTAGTATGTTTATATTGCTTATCTGGTTGTTGACATAATCAGTACCTGGAAGCGGGTGACTTGGTACGGTTGTGACCAATCTGTGGTTTTATGTTGGCAACATTCTTGGATTTGATACCCATAAACAGGACTGTATACGAACCTTCTCTTCTACGCCCAGAGCGGGAAATGGCGATGCGCTATGAGCTGCGAGCCTTTCCATACTCTTAAAAAATTGATAACCAGAAAAAAAAGTGTTCGCAGCAACAAAAATGACGTTTCGCTGCAGTACAATAGCTGATTACTGTAAGCACTCAGACGTATTGTCGCCACCCACACTGAGGCCGTACTCGAAAAAAAAAGTCGCCCCGACGGCCTACAGTAACCAGCCGCTCGAAAGCCACCAATGATTCTCTCCCCGAATGTCTGCTTGAAAAGCCAATCGAAAGCGGCATGTCGTGCTGAGCGCACTGCCATCATTTGCTATCACTGTAAATCAGTGGGAACTCACTATTGGATTGGAACTAGCTGCACGAGCCTATGAATAGGGCCATTAGTGCTTCTAGGCGGCCTACTAGAGCTTGCGAATATCGTAGTTTTGGATAGTGCGTGTTGATTTACGAGATTTAGCAAAATTTCTGGACATCGTCGCATTTGCGCCGGTCTCTAAAATAAGGGAAGCTATGGCTTTATGGCAAAAACTTGGATAAAAGCCTATTCACCGAAGCAGTGAAGTTGAGCCGCTGCATCGTAGCTTGGTGCGGTTTTTTCCCACACTCAGTCAGTTGTCCAAAAGTGCTCAGGCCTTCTGATGAAGCCTCTTTGTATTTTAGTAATACTTTGTTTCAGCAACGCTCTCCAGTGTGGGCGCAGCTACATTCTTCATTTATTCCCACAAAGTGGAGTTTCGGTTTGTGCAAGGCATAACCCGTACATACGAAGTACGTCCTATTCTATTCACGGTGCATTCACACTGATTGAGTAAATGCATTTTCCGTTGCAAAATGCATATCACCGAAATCCCCTCTGTTTGTAAATTCGGATTTTTGTCCAAGACTTTCAACTCAGCAAACAGAAATCTAGGAAGTTAAATTTTACAAGGATGTTTCCAGTTAAATGCAAATTTGCAAACTTAAATTCAGTTTTCACACACGCCCAGATCTCATTTGTGAACATGTGAAAATTTTGAGGAAAAATCCACTAACTTGGAAATCAGTGAAAATAGAAAGCTGAATTTTTGGAAGGATATTTCGTGCCCGTGTGGAACCCAGGAAAATTCAAATTTTTTTTTCACGCATATCTATTATGTACGGACACGTAAAACTTCACATGGGTAATTTTGTAGCTCGAGAACCAGATACGACAGGAAGGTGAAATTTTGCGAAGATGCTTCATGTACGTAGACACCCTCAGAAATTTAAATTTAACTTCCTTATATGCCCACGCTTCTCATTCGGGCGCATGAAAGTTCAGAAAATAAAACTGCCGCTCCCTTCTCATCTGGCACCCTAGCTCGAGTGCCAGACGAGATAGCAAACTGCAATTTTAGGGTGTTTCCTATCCATTTATGGCAGTTAACGCTCTCAACAATAGCTTTCGCTAAGCAGATGATGCTGAAAGTTGTGATAATTACCCAGGTGAGAGGAGATGCATTAACTTTTGCCCAGGGCATCAGATTCGGTTGAGACATAAGATGCTGCACCGAGTAGTGATGAACTGTTTCAAAACAGCTGCTGTTCAGAATGAGCAGCGTTTTACTATTAAAACACTAATATCATATGGACGATAGTAAAAACTGGAAAAGAGATACTGATTCGAATGATGTTATCAATATGAATTTGTCTATTTCAGCAGAAGTGCGGCTACTCCTTTTATTTGGCGCTATCCTCATGCGTCACTTTTCTTTTCGCATTTCTTTGCTCAGTATTTTGCACTGTGATGGTATTTCTGAATGCGCGCAATCGGTGGCGGCAACCGAAAAATTACCCACATATCAACAGCGCTGTGTAAAATGATATGCAGAATTTTAATGGACAAATTGTTGATGGTTCACTGTTCACTTCATTCCGAGCGCCAGTTTAACAGTCGTTTTGTTGATTTACGGCAGGACACAGTTCTAGGATGAGCTAGGCTAATCGGGATTGTCTCAGTCCTAACAACATCATTTACGTAGACGACCAAATGCATCGATGGCGAGAAGGAATCCGACGATGCTCAACGAACTCAAAGAATTGAGTGGTATGACCCTGAGGGCAACGCTCAGAAATACTGCTGATCCGTTGTTTTACAAGACTCTCCTAAGCTGCTTTAATTGAAAATTCAAAAAACAGTGCAAATATCTGTAAATAGAAGACTAAGTTCTACCAATTCTGAATGCTGCAACACCTTCCAGATTTCCCCCCAAAGCAAGAGACCATCACCATGTTATGCGTTTTTATACAGGTCTGGGATAAATGCATGTTGATGCTTGTCTTATATGAATATATTTGTTATACAGCAGATGGAACATGCTTCTCGCCTTGCTGACAGTTTGTAGACGTTCTGCATTCGTGAGCGGTATAAGTATGAAAACAAACAACCACTCGAATGGCTTCGCGAGAGATAGCACATATAACTGAACAGGTGTGGGTACTAACTGGCGAAGTGAAACAAAAGGCTTAGAAAATTTGCATTTGGGCAGTAATATGACTAATATCGGGTCCTTATATCTACTCTCTGGGCGGTCTTGGTAATATATACATATTATTAGAAAGAGATGAGTGTTTTCGTGTAAAAGATGATGAATTGTTAAAGAAATTTTTGTAGGAAATTAGAAAAGGGATTATACAGAAGAAAATTAATTGAAAATGCTATACAAGAAAGGTAATTTATTGTTAGTAAAAATATGACCGCAAAATTGAATCTTTCGACTCATGAAGTTTTATACACCCTCTTGCAGTACCGCAGTTGGATCTCTTCAGTACGGCACTGTGTTACAGAATTTTATACACATATGTATATTATACTTATGCGTGTATGTAAAATTCTATAGCAGAGCTTCCCTAAGCTTCGGCCCCCCCCCCCCCCCCTCCCCGCCCTCCCCGCTCTTCCCCTTTCCTTCACTATTAACGCCAATCCTATCGGATCTCTATAAGATTATCTGGGCGATGTTAGTGATATATACATAAATTTGTAAAGTCAGCTGTTGAACTCTTCAGTGATGCAATGCGGTTTTGTTTATTTTGCAAATTGTTTCGTATAAACATAAAGATTACAAACCCATGCCTGGCTGCATATTCCATTGTTGAAGTTCAAACAAGTGAGGATGCGATAAACGTGAATTCTAAGTCCTCTATTGAGTCAGTATCGTCTCAGATTTAATTTTTCCTATTATCAGTAAAGGTGCCTCGGGCTCATATTTAATAAATGACAAGATACGTCTAATGCATATAAAAAAAAAATTTTTTTTGAGAAATTTCAGTGAATTATGTCTCATGTGGAATATCAAAAATCAAAGGGCAGCTTAGGTTTTGATTATTTATCTCTGCTGTGAGACAAGAATGTACACCAAAAAGTTATCAGAATGAAGCAAGCAGGCATTTTTTTTTTTTGTAGCGTCTCAGACTTATTTCTGCGCAGTAAAATTTTCCCGCTCCTTCGTTTGTGGAGCAGATAGAGACAGTCGAACGCTGTCCTCGGCGTACTCCATAAAGATTGAAAATCTCCTGAAAAGATTGGCGAATCTCTCACTTATCCTGGTTTGCACTAAACTAGCTGTCCTACATTTTCCAGAGCCCGACGAGGAAATCAGTACAAATTGAAGCCTAATAAAAACTACGTAACACTAGCCCGAACAATTTAAGGTTCCTGGTATCCCTCTCTCCTTTCAGCTGTTGATGCACCACGGTAGGCCGGTTGGAAGGGTATGGGCAAAAACGGCACCTATTTTCTATCCGCACATAGCCCCTCCACTAGCTCACATCCGTGACTTGCTGAGAGCTGCACCT